AAATGGGGACTTGGTTTGTTCCTGGAGGCTCCGGGCAACCACTTAACCCTGGTTACCAGGGGGATGGAGGCCAGGGGCCTGGGGCATGGCCCTTCCTTTAATCAGCAGGAAACACTGCCTTCCCCTCCCAAGCGGTTTGCTCGGCCAGTAAATTAAACCTGCCCAGAGAGCGTGATTTTCCTGCAGTAGGTCAGGGTTTAGGGAAGTGTGATTCAAGCAGGAAAACAAGCAGCTGAGATGAATGTGCACTGGATGGGACCATCCCCATATTCAGCCCTAGCTGAGCTGAGCGCACTCAAACCACCTCCCCGCTTCCCAATTGTCCTGGAAGCGGCAGAGTCCACCTCCTGAGGAGTTACAGAAGCGCATTGTCAGGAACTAGGCTTCCAACCTGACTTTGTTTTCGAGCTCCGAGCCGTTTCCAGTTCCAAATAATAAGGTGGCATGTTAATTACTCTCCCCCCTCCATCCACCTTTCTGCGGCTCTCACGCCGTCATGGGCAGGCCTATGGGGGTGTGCTTTCACGGAAAACAGCTCCAGATCTTTGGGTGGAGGGAACAACAGCTGCGGCTCTGTTGCTGCATTTCTGAAAGGATCCCACAAGTCAATGAAAAAGGAACCGTTGGCCACTTAAAACATAATAATTACTTCTGTGAATACTGCTAAATTAAATAAGTGTTATCCCCATGCTTTTTTTTCTCATGACTTCGGTTTCTTTTAAAGAAAACATTTTGTGACTTCTTGAGCTGATCTATTTGCAAGGCAACATGAGGAACGTAAAGCAATTTTTTTTTTCTGGCCCTTACATGGTCCTCTATCTCCCTGTTATCCAGCAGACAGTTGGGAAGGGACATGAGACAAGGACCAGGGTGACCACAGTGTCAAATCACCTTCACACGTTTTCAAAGCAGCCATGGAGGGAGGGACTTTCGCAGAAACCTCTAGATCAGGGTCAGCAATGATAGTGAAGCAGCCCATCGGTGTTCCCTTGTCTGCCACCATCACCCCTTGTCCTCTGTGCCTCCTGAATTGAGATGTTGTTTTTGTTAGATGTCAAAGTGTCCTTTCCGACTCATAGCGACACTGCACAACAGAATAAAACACTGCCTGGTGCTGCGCCCTCCTCTTTGTTGTTGTTATGTTTGAGCCCATTGCTGTTGCCACTGTATCAATCCATCTCATTGGGGGTCTTCCTCTTTTCGTGGACTTTCACTTTACCAAGCATGATGTCCTTCACCAGGGACTGGTTCCTCCTGATAATATGTCCAAAGTGTGAGAGACAAACTCTTGCCATCCATGCCTCCAAGGAACATTTCTAGCTCTACCTCTTCTAACACAGACCTGTTTGTTTATCTGATAGTCCATGATATTTTCAATATTTTTCTCCAACACCATAACTCAAATCCATCAGTTCTTTTATGGTCTTCCTTATTCATTGTCCAACTTTCACATGTACATGAGGCTGTGGAAAATACCATGGCTTGGGTCAGGCACACCTAAGCCCTCAAATTGAAATCTTTGCTCTTGAACACTTTAAAGTAGTCTTGTGCAGCGGATTTGCCTAGTGTACCATGTCATTTGATGTCTTGACTGTTGCTTCCATGAGTGTTGATTGTGGATCCAAGAAAAATGAAGTCTTTGACAACTTCAATCTTTTTGCCATTTATCATGATGTTATTTACTGGTGCAGTGGTGAGGATTTTTGTTTTCTTTACACTGTGGTGCAATTCATACTGAAGGCTATGGTCTTTGATCTTCATCAGTAAATATTTGAAGTCCTCTTCACTTTCAGCAAGCAAGGTTGTATCATCTGCATATGGCAGGTTGTTAATGAGTCTTCCTCCAATCCTGATGCCACATTCTTCTTCATATAATCCAGCTTCTGAGATTATTGATTGAGATGAAATTCATGAAGTAGCAAATGAACAATTTGAGAGTGAAGAATGCAGTGATATTTAGTACATTTACAGTGTTGTGCTACTACCAACTCTATCTAGTCTCAGAACACTCTCTTTACCCTCAAAGGAGATCTGCACCCACCGACACCCCAACTCCTGGCCTCCATTCATCTATTTGTGTCTCTATGGATTTGTCTCTTCTGGATATTTGTTACTGATGAAGTCCCACAACATTGAGGTCTTGGGCATCTGGCTTGCCTTACTCAGCACCACGTTGTTAAGTCTCATCCATGTTGTAGCATGTATCAGGGTGGAAGCACTCCCGAGTGAATGGATAAACACAGTGTGATCTATCTATACAGCAAAATACAACCCAGCCATAAAGACAACTCTTTTGCTATTGATTGACTGAGTAATACTACATTGGGGGACTAGCCCAGATTGTGTTGATCCATTCACCAGCCAATGGACACTTGGGCTGCTTCCAGCTTAGCTCTGTGAATGGTGTTGTAGTGAATATGCATGAAACATACTTGCTAGATCCTCTGTCTTCATTTCTTCCAGACATCTGTCTGTCTAGGAGTAGAATTGCAAACTCTGAGGTTTTTCTAATCTACTCGTTGCTCCTCCTACCCCTCCCTAGGGCCATGTTTTAGCATCTCTATGCTCCAGACTATTTCTGTTATGGCTTGCTGCCATACAGGCAGATCTCAGAGATACGCAGGTTTGATTCCAGACCACTCCAGTAAAGGAACACTGCAATAAAGCGACTCACATGATTTTTGGTTTCTCAGAACATATCAAAGTTATGTGTACACCATTATTAAGTGTCGTAGAGTCGATCCGATTCATAACAACCCCGTATAGAGTTTCTAAGGCGTTAAATCTTTGTGTGAGAAGAAAGCCTCACCTTTCTCCCATAGAGTAGCTGGTGGGCTCAAACCATTGGCCTTGTGGTTTGCAGCCCTGTGCTTATCTTATGGAGCCACACTGCAGTTTATTAAGTGTACAGTAGCATCCTGAAGAAGTCTGAAATAGTGTGAAAATGACCGAAATGTGACAAAGAGGCATGAAATGAACACACGCTGTTGGAAAAATGATGTCAATAGACGTCTTTGGTGCAGGATTGCCACAAACCTTCAATTTGTGAAAAATCAAAACCAAAAATACAGTATTTGCAAAGAAAACTAAAGCAAAGCACAAGAAGACAAGGTGTCCTTCTGTGTTTCTGAATAACTCTACTTGACATCAACAGTCTCTTTAGGACCGACCCCAAAGAAAGGCCCATCCTAGACTGACAAGCTATAACCCGACATGCCCAGCCCAATGGCCCGTAACCTCTCGGCTCTGATATTCATGATCTGTGTAGTTCTCTCTCCTCATTAGGCAAGGAAATTCCAGAAGCCCTCTCCAGGGCCTTGGTGGCCCCATGGAACTGCCCACCTGGCTCAGGTGCTGGGGAGCAGCATAGAGCAAAATTTCACAGACAACAAAATGAGTCAGTTCCCACATTATGAAGCCCTCCCGGGAAGTTTGAACACATTCAGTTCTGCAATTTCCAAGACTACAGACGTAAATGGAAACAGTTCAGGAACACATATTTCACCATTGATCCTGGGCCTGGATGCCGGTTTCAGCAGCCTCAGCCTCTGTCCTACAACTGGCATTTGGGCCGCTCTCCCTTGCTCTCCCCAAGCAGAAGGGTCAGACATGTCAACAGGTCTCCGCAGGAAGTCTTCATAGTACATTCCAACCTGGGGGCTCACTTGCAGCACTGTTTTAAACAACATTCTACTGTGTGCCTTAGGGGGTTTGCAGTGACTGATCTTCAGGAGGAGAGTTTCTGGTTTTTCTTCTGAGTAACCTTTGGACGGATTCAAACCTCCAGCTTAGCAGTCTAGGAATGTGCTAGACAGTAGTCCCTGCTTACCCTTGGAAGGTATATTCCAAGAACCCCAGTGGATGCCTGTAATCATGAATAGTACCAAACTACATACGATGTTTTTTTCCTATACCGACATGCGACAAGTACGCAGAGTAGCCCAGGCGGACAGGGCACAGCTCAGCTGCCCACCCAACTGTGTTTTCCAGGCTTCTGCCCAGTGGAGGAGGAGGAAACTGGCTTTGGGTGGACGGGGCCGGCATGAGATTTCATCACACAACTCAGATGGCACACAATTCAAATACTTTCAGACCGCAGTTGCTCTAGGGTAACCGAAATCGTAGAAAGAAAAACCAGGTATATACTGTATTTCTCGGGAGTCCTGGTGTGGTGTTGTAGCACTGGACCGCTAACCACAAGGCCGGTTGTTCAGACCCACCAGCCATTCCACGGAAATTCTACAGAGTCGCTGTGACTCAGAACCGACTTGATGGCACTTAATAACAACAACTATATTTCTCTGTAAACTTGACATGTCTGTTGCCGTTGAGTAGATTCTAACTCATAGCACCCTTTGCATGAAAGAAGGAAACATTGTCTGGCCTTGCTCAACTTCATTAATTCTCTCAAATCCATTGTTTTGGCCACTGTGTACTTTGAGAGTCTTCTAATGTCGGAACCTCTCCTCCAGCACTGTACCCCAAGGTGATTTGTTGTAATCCATAGGGTTTCCATTGGTTCATTTTCAGAAGTAGGTCAGAAGTCTGTCTTAGTCTGGAAGCTCTGCTGAAACCGATCCACCACGGGTGACCCTGCTGATGTCTGAAATACTTGTAGCCTAGCATCTTACATCACAGCAGTAGGCAACAAATGGACAGGTTGGGACAGGGAGTGTAATGGGGATCAGGGAAAACTTGGCTGTGCTGGGGTAGCTGAAACAGCTGGTAGAATGTCATCCTAGGGACCCTTTAACATAGAGGAACAGCTGTGCTCCAAGTGAGGCCATGGTAGGATCACCAGAGTAGAGAAGGTGGGCTGGTGGCATGTGAAGTTCTGAGTGTCTTCAGTTCCTATTATATCCCATGCAGAGCCTAAGACACTGTATTATTCCCTCCAGGTGACGGCGACGTTGTAAATAACATGTATGAGCCCGACCCGGATCTCTTGGCTGGCGAGAGTGCCGAGGAGGAGACAGAAGACAGCATCATGTCCCCTATCCCCATGGGACCACCCTCCCCCTTCCCCACCAGCGAGGACTTCACCCCCAAAGAGGGCTCACCCTATGAGGCCCCTGTCTACATTCCTGAGGACATTCCCATCCCTCCTGACTTCGAGCTGCGAGAGTCCTCCATCCCAGGGGCTGGCCTTGGCATCTGGGCCAAGAAGAAGATGGAAGTCGGGGAGCGGTTTGGCCCCTACGTGGTGGCGCCCCGGACCACGCTGAAGGAGACTGACTTTGGATGGGAGGTGAGTGTTTTGTGTCCGAGCATGATTGATCACGGCTATTTATCTTGCGTGCCATCTATTTATAAAGCTGGCCTGAGCAACCACTGCCCCAAGGCGGGCGCCCGGGTGGAGAGAGCGTTCGAATGTCACATTTCCCAGGCTTATTTTATCCCGTAGCTTACATTACGAGACTCAGAAAACATTGGCGGTCCTGGAGGACGCCTGTCAGCCCCCCAGGCTGTGCCGGCTCTCTTCCCGGAAATGTGTCTTTAATGAGCTCATGTCTTCAGACATCCTTGCTGCTGTGGGGATCAAAGGTGCTAAGATTGCAGTGGCAAGGGAGCGGGAAGATGGAGCAGATGTCCTGGGAACAGGGGCATGGCTCCTGCAAAAGTTTCTGCCTATAAGGTTTTATTCCTGGCCCGAGCCGCGTGGGGCTGCTTCTAAAACATTCCTGATGGCAGTGCTGATCCCAGACGCTGTGGGCAGCGTCTAGGTCATGAGGTTTTTTTATAAGAGGTTTCCACAGAAACCTGGAGCACTGTTTCTAGGATTTGTGTGGGGCGCAGCATCACATCTTGCTGGTTAAATTCCCCTCGTGGTTCCTGGGAGCCTGGATGGGCTGAGCTGTCATGGGGCAGGGCTCAAAGGGAAGGTGCATTAGGTGAGAGGGTACTTCTGTCCCTGCAGGCTGTCTTCTGGGACTGCTCAGGGCAGGGTCTCTGAGGTGTCCTGTTCCAGCTGCTGGATGCTTGGCCCCAAGGTTTTGGCCTCTGAAGGTGTCTCCTGGGCTTAAGAGACCCCCACAACCATGCTTCTTCATTGGCACTGGCCTTCTTGCTGGCCCCACACAACAACCAACTCTCAGTGATATTTTTGGCAGAGACTCTGTAGAGGCAGAAAACTCAGACACAAACCTAGATTCCTTCTGGGTGTTTCACAACTTTCACAAGTGCTTGGGTTAAGGTCAGTTCCAGGAAGGAGCAAATATTCCAGGGAGAGAAGAGGTCAGCCGGAGTTGGAGAGTTGGAGGCTGTTTCCTCCCAGCGTGAGGAGAGAGGAGTGAGTGTCCTGGGTCTGGTCCTGTCATCTCTCTCAACTTTTAGGTGGCTTTGGGAAGGTTCCAGAACTATTTTGTGCCTCAGTGTTTTACGGGGATTGAGGAGAGAATGCAGATGTGTCTTATTTCCCTTGCAATGCTCGATGGTTTTCCAAAATTGCCCTTTGGTTCCTAGGCCCCTTCTCCAGACATCAAATACACTAATGCATTTCCTCTTTGAGGATTCTTGGAGGTCCTGAGACCCCAAGAAGCCCTGTAAACACCTTTTGAGGGACATCGAGAATGGTTGAATGTGTTACTTTGTGTCTTGGGGGTTGGTGATAGGTTACCCACACTTCCCACAGAATGGGGACATCTCTTCTTCTTGTGGAGAGGCAGGAGAGTCTCTTGTGGATTTCCCAGGGTCCCTGAATTACAGGTGCCTTTAGAGTGCCAGCTGGCCAGGTTGTGTGTGGTTCGTGGTGGCACCTGGGAGTTTGTAAGATTCATAGTCATGGGCACAGAGGAACACAGGAGCTTCTGATCTGAGGGACTGACTGCAGTTACAAGTTCTGCCATGGTGGGCTCAAAGATCTACATGGGTGGTCGGCTTGGCTAAGTGAACCAATGGGTGGGCCCGCTGGAGTTCACGCTAGTGCAACACAATGGGTGTCGTAGCTCAGTAAACAGGGTCACCTTCAGAACAGATTGGCCAGGGGCTTGGAAACAAGTGAGGCTAGAGGGGAAGAGTTTATAACCGCAGCCCATCTGGGGGCATGTTACCCCTCTTTTATGACTCATAGGGTGGCACCTTATGTTGTTGTTGTTGTTAAGTGCTATCAAGTCTGTTCTGACCCATAGCGATCCTGTATAGGGTTTCCAAGAAGCGGCTAGTAAGTTTGAACCCCTGACTTCGTGGCTCAAACCAACCTTGCAGTCCAGTGCTTTATCCCACAGCACCACACCAAGACTCCGGCGCCTTATGGGACTAAGGAAAGCATTTTTCCAACACTATGACAGCTAAGTGTGTTTGGCTGTGGCAATGGCTGTGGCTTTGTTGAAGCGTCCTGTCAGGCCCTTCTATGCCTAGTTGGGCGGGAGAGGAATTTAAGGGTGTGTACCGAAGTCTCAGAAAAGCTTGGGACAATTTAATCAGTGAGTGACTTTTAGATGTTAAAGGACAAATTGACCAACAGCGGTAGCTCCTGTGATAACCGTGAGCTGGTTTTGTTCTTGTCTGCTCTGCTTGCTTTTTAAAAAGAAAAGGTCCGTATCACCGGTACTCGCCAGTGCCAGGCCTGGTGGGGGCGGGTGGTGGCTATTATCTGCCATACTGTTGACTTTGCAACATTATTTATTCCTGGTGTACGTGCGGGAACGTTCGCTCACTGTGGTGAACCTCAAGTTTCTGCAGCGGGCTTTGTTCCGTAAGCCTTACCTGACAGCTACCTTGAACTCCGGCACTCAGAAATATTTACCTGCCATCCACTGCCCTCCAATAGAGCTGCAGACGCACCCCAGCATTAGCTCACGAGACGGTGTTTTCTTTGTGAATTCAGGCCGCCTTGGCTACTTGCCTTTGTGTCTGTCTTTGGGCTCCACTGCAAACAAAGGAACAAGTAGGAAACAGGCCCCCCAAATTCTGGTTGAACCCACTTTTGCCTGGATAAAATCATCAAGGCAAAGTGTATTCGTCTTCAGCTTAGCCATCATCTTTGCAGCCATTCTGGAATTTTCCACAAATCTCTAGAAACAGAGCAGTGCTGTCTGGCTTCGTTATCTGTCTTCCTCATGGTGGAAAGGTGGCTGCCCTGTTGCCCTTATTAGTTATTGTGGGTCCTTGGTTGTGCAGCAATGTGTCTTATCTTCTTATCGCTGCAGACAAGATTAGGAACAGGGCTCCAATGCCCCTGGTTTTTAGTGTGGGTCCAGGCAAGCGTGTGGGGCCTCTCATTAACCTCTAACACAAACAAGGTAGGCTTAACCATCAAAACCATGTCTGTCTGTATTTCTGCAAAGACCTTCCCCTAGGCCTGTCAGTCCTGACTTGTGACATCCCAACTGCATGCGGGGGAAGGAAATGCTGCCCGGGCGTGCTTGGTTCCCATACAGAGTCAAATGGGGATTGGAACATTGTGATCCAGCGGGTTTTTTGAAGTAGATCTCCAGGCCTTTCTTCCTACCCTATTTTAGTCTGCAAGCTCTTCTGAAACCTGTTCATCACCACAGCAACACACAAGCTTCCCCTAACAGATGAGTGATGGTTGTGCCTGAGGAACCTTGGTCAGGAATTGAACCTGGGTCTTCTGTATGAACGACAAAAATTCTTTCACTGAATCAGCACTATTCTCAAAGCAGACCTGTGGCTGTTGTCAGATACTATCCAGTCAGTTTGACTCATAGCGACCCTGTGTAGGGTTCTGAAGAGCAGCTACCCACCTTACAGTTAACAATTCAGTGCTTATCCTACAGCGCCACACCAGGACTCATAGAGATATATAAAATGCAGTTAGTCCCTGACTTATGACCAACGACTTCATCATAAATCAGATCTGATAGGCAAATACTACCCACTCCCTTTTTTTTTTTCTCCATTATTGTTGCCTTTTATTATCAATATCTTTATAAATCTTGTCCTTAGTTTATTCTTGAGGGCTAGAAACATTTCTCATAAACCTATAGGTATATTTCATTCTGTATAGACATTTTAAAAATACACAAATCCATTTTAAAAAAAAAGGACAAAGTCGGCATTTTGTCAGTTGTGGTATTGTTGTGGAAGGTTCTGGATCATCTGGATTGTCCCTGGGCATGGAGATGGTGTTTCCAGTCAGAACGTTAGTAAGAGTTGTCTGTTTGGCCCTGTTATGATGTTGTGGGACTCGGGTTGGGGGTGGGGTGGTGCTGTGTGCCACTGAGTTGGGTTTCCGAGGCTGTAAATTTTTACGGGAACAGTAAGACTCACCATTTTTTTTGCACAGAGTGGCTGGTGGATTTGAACTGTTGACCTTGCAGTTAGGATTTAAATGTGTAGCTCTCTAGGCCACCATGGATCCATCCAGTATTATATACAGAACATGTTACTGATGATAAGAACTACAAAAATAAATGCATAAGGCCATAAAGGCACTTTATTATAGTGAAAATATGTTATAAACCCATACTACCTGTAACTAACAAGAGTGGGATGTCTGCAGTGGAATATGGGTGACCCCCAGGACTGTGTGAGGACTTCACAGGCCAGCAGATGAGCAAGTGTGATCATAAGAGCATGTGTATAAAGGTATGTATCACTTAATGTCTGCGAAGTAGAATGTTACGTAATTCAGACATTGAGTGGACAGCATATTACTATACACAGGCAGGCCTTAATACAATTCGAAATCCCATAAAGCCCATTCTATTAAAACCTTACGGGAACCACTGGACAAAGTCCGAGAGCTGTATCCACCAGAGGCGGGCTTTACTGTGTGTGAGGCTCAGTAGAGCAGGGGCTACACTGGCAGCTGGATTGGGACTTTGCACACATCTGGGTGGTCGGGAGGTTACATAACATGGTAGAGAAGTGTCCTAAGGGACTGGGTGGGGAGCGGGTTGTGGGTGCTAGGAACATGGCTTGGCCCACACTGTCCTGTAGATGTGGCCACTCACTGACCATGTGAGCGCTCCAGACTGACACTGAGGAGTCATGGTGAGTACCAACCTGCCTTGGGAGGGAAAGGTTGCAGGGTTGGTGAGCAGGTGAATGGGTCACGGGGAGCATGAGAGGAGAAGGAGGTGCAACAGAGATAAGGTACTTCTTGCAGCCCGCTGCTTGTTCGCTTCAGGGGTTTGATGTCTTTAAAACTATTAGGGGCAACTGATAAACAAAAGGAAAACTGCTTTCCCTTTTACAAAAACAGCCTATGGGACTGTGGATGTTGCCCATTGGATGTTAAGCGAAGCCTGTTTGTGTATATCTACTCCTCGCCTATTTCATGAT